GTGCACCTGAAAGAAAGGTGCAGTGAATTAGGTTGCAATAACTGGCAAGAAATCTTTCGTAGCGACAAGAGTTATAGCTGTCATACTAGTAAAAATGCACATTATAAATACCTTTTTTATGAACCTGGCCAAGACACTCAATGCTGAAGTACATTTCGTTGCATGTAACCACATGGTCCTTTAGCTTCTTCGTAAAAAATCGTTCTTCATAGTCTTCGTGAGAAATTGCTCCAACGCAAATGCACATACAATCATTTGTTTTCAGCACTTCTTCTGCTGCTGCCGCTGTTTCCACGGTGCCTTCTTTCAACAGGGTACCTCTGATGAACACTTTGCAGTAGCTCACAATGCGTGACTCAAAAAACATGACCACTTTTTCCGATCGTACTTCATTCTTCGGTGTCAACACGGACGTGCAGTACACAATGCCTTTGTGATGTAGAAAGATGTGCTTAGTCCAGTGCGGCGATGGTACCTCAAGACAGCTAAATAACGACATAGACTTGCGGTCTTCCTGCGGATTTTCTGAAGAAGAAACTTCTACATCGATGGCCAGCTGTTCGTCATCTGGCCTCGATGCTGCAGTGCCTGGATCCGGAGTATTTACGGCGTTTGTGTGCAACACCGTCGAGTTGCCACTCGTGCACAGCCGGCGCTTCACTGGCGAAGCATGACTCTCAGACTTCCTTTTTCGAGGCGGCCTTTCTTTCACTGCTTTTTTGGTGAGATACGATGGCAAATTTGTCAAAATAGTGGGAACAGCGTCACTGCTCAACAAAGGCCTCCCGCGTGGGATCCGCACTTTTTTATTGCCGGTGGTGTGTACATAATCGCGAATTACGTACCGAGGCTCGAAGTGGAGTTCACAAACCGCACTTGTGTCTTCGAGTGGCTTGTCCGCACGGTGTAAATTATTCTCCCACAGTCTTCTGAGTCTCGCATCCCTGGGGACGACGAACAGTGACGGTTTTGGAGCACCTTTCACGTGAACGTAGCCCGTCTGGCATCCGGGCGCACAACAATGGTTCTGGCGACGTGGTGCCATTCCGCACTAAGTGTCGATGACCGCGAGGTGTTCACTACCAATCTACATTATTCACAACTATAAGAACTGAAAAATGGAACGTATTGACAAAGCACTGCTCGGCCGTAAACCTGCAACGACGACGACACACAGCCAACACAAAAGCGGAGTGAACAGGTGAAAACTCCCATTGCTGACGATGGTAGCGCCGCCACGCGGGCACTCAAGAAAACGAAAACTCGTTGACATTTTTTGCGCCACGGCAACGTACCCTCTCCTCGTAGAGTGGGCTCACTACCCATTATTCTAGAACACTATAGCGCCGCTCTCCACAAAAATTGCTCCCACGCTGTGTGGTGGTGACCCGTTTTCGGTAAAATCATTTTGATCGAGCAAGTGTAGGGCAGTACATGGCACCTAAGCTCTTTAAAGTCTCATCTCTGAAAACCGTTCTTGAAAAGGCCTTGATATAATTAGTTTGTCCAAAACCACCATATGATTATGAGAAATGCCGTAGTGGAGGGCTCCGGAAATTTCGACCACCTGGGTTCTTTATCGATTATACTCCAAGACCAGAAGTTTGAATCAATGCACCCGCGCTGTGGGAGCAAGAATATCATTTTAACAAACCTCGTATTTATATTTGACATGTCATAAAGCATTCGTTAAACATGGTTGTAGTACCATAATTTATCTTGCTAAGATAAACGTAAACCCAAGTGTTTGTCTAACTAGGTATGCTGAATTAAATGTGGATTTTACCTGTTGCTGGAAGCGTTTAGGATGAACATTGTCCTACAGTCTAGCTTACCTATTAACCACCTTAAACCACGAAGACATTGACCCTTTGTTCTTACTTCTGCCATTGAGAACTTCCTATGAATATATTTAAATATTGCAAGAAACGTCGCTACAATTGGCTGTTTTGCGCATTTTAAAAATAATTCTTATTACTTCTGATCCACGTATCTTTTACTGTGATGTCTCCGTGTATCAGTGTATAGTTTTGATCCTGATGATTTCTGACCCTTCTATATAATCTATGTGTAATTAATTTCTTACGATTAATTCTCAACTAGAGCGCTGTGGATATATGTAATTTTAAATGATGAAAATCGCCACATTAGATGCTTTGCCCAGCTAATTCACTTTCCCGAATAGTAGATCTCCCGGATCTTCCGTCACTCTACTTATTGACTTTTGCTTTTCATGTTCATGCCAAGTCATGATACATGTGTATTCCCTCGCTCTCTATTTCTGGAGCTTTGTTTCATAACTTTTGTATTCGTACTTGGTGTCATTTTATACTTGTAAAGTCTATTTTTTATTCTACATGTATGAATGTCTGTCGTGTATTGCTGGTTTGCGAAATTGTGGCTGGGTCGGTACTTTGTCAATCCCTCGAGCTTTTAGTACCGTGCTCCTCGACCTATTGAAAGAAAAGAAATGAGGTCTCTGACCAAAACAGCCATAGCTAATTTATGTGAATTAAACTAGCAAACTTAGCACAAGATGCCGGACGTAGAACACAGTGGCCTAATGTGCACCGGAGAGTTGCATGTGATGGCTTATAACAACGTGGCGCATGTTAAACCCATTTCTCATTGTCACAGAAAGCCGAGATATTATTTCACCGTCAACCCTCTCTGCAAAGATATGATCACTGACCTAAAAATATTTACAGTAATTCTGACAGCTTGCATCTGCTAGCGGACCATAATCGCAGGTATTTGCAGTGTAAATAATGTTTGCCCTTTCAACCTACACAGGGCCTGCTAGAATTGCAACTGTTCATGGAAACGTGAGCCTTGCTTTTCCAGGTACTGCAAGCTTAATGCTCTGCGACCTGTTCTATCAGCAGAAGCAAATTTTATTTTAGAAACATACCTGATAAGTAGCCCTACCGTGTTGCAGGAATGACTTGTTGACAACTACAATTCGCACAATTTAAGCAGCAGCTCCATTTCTGCATGTATAACGAGTGCGTCAAATACTTATTGCCGAAGTAATGTGCTATGCCAGCAACGGTGTTACTTATAACGCGTAACCACCAACACTGCGAAACAAGGTGTTCTTGCACTCATCACGATTATTACGAAGTACCAAATTTCTCACAGCGTAGCTTGCCACATGATATACAGGGCAACCATCCGCCGCTCAGCAGTGTAAGATTCATGGGCGACAGACACTGCTAGTGAATGAGATGAAGTCTTTCGTAGTCTTTCTCATTTTATTCCATCTCATGCAGCATTATTTTCTGCAGAAAGAGCGACTCCTCCACTAAGTGATCCACGTTGCCACCCTTGGGATTCTTCAAGAGGCTGAACTGAAGCATTAAGTGTGCGGACAAGCGTAATGCAGCGACACTGGATCTACTTTTTTTTTTGTCGTTGACACCTTCAGGCAATTCAGAGTAACCCAGCGCAATCACCGATTGACGAAGTACTTGTAAAGCAGCTACTGTCTCTGAAGAAAAAAAAAAAAAAAGCAGCGCACCCGAGGAAAACTCTGCGAAGTGCGCCGCTCACTCCCACGCCGCTGCCATCAGCGCCCCTAGCGGCATCGGCACGCCGAAGGGCCTTCTTCGGCAAGCAAAAAGCGCCGCGCTCATCCAACACCACCTAGACTAGTGAATAGTCTAGGTGGTGTTGGCTCATCACACCTCCCCAATCTAGCCACCCTATCTGTGGCATAACATGTAGCCAATAATTGTGAATGGCTTCAGTTTCGCGTCGGGTTGAATCCACTGCTTAACACCGGGGCCACACACGTTTCGGCTTTCACTGCATGGTTAACAATTTGTACGGAGTGCTTGGGCGGTGATTTCTTTTTGTCTAGAGCAAGCCATGCGTCGCTTTCCCCTGCCATGAGACACGTGTCTGAACATGCCCGGAGAAGGCCTCCCCCTCACGCATGGCGCTGTTGCACCGTGCTTTCCCGTCACGGTAGTGCACGTCACGGTACTTCACCGATCCTCGTTGGCCACCCATGACAGCGCCTCTTCCAATAATAGCTTGCTTTCACCCGGGATTAAATAAGATAAAAAAGGGGGGGGGGACACAAAGATCCAGTCTTAATCTCTCCCCCTACATTCACCGTAGCCCTCAAGGGGCATAAAATATGAATGAAAACGTGTCAACAACTTCCACCCGGCACTCTCTCGCTGTGGTTAGATGCTAACAGGCCTGCACGAAAGGTAGACGCGCTGCTCTAGCAGGCGGCTTCTCGTCCGTGCGCTCAGATGCTGCCCTTTGTGTGTTAGACGAACGCAGCGCAGCGCCTGCCGGAAAGCGTTCACTTGGTCGGTCTTGCGGAGTTTCGCTGCTGGCCCGCAAGCCCGCGATTGTCGCTCTTGGGGTTAACAAATCCGTGTTTGTTGACGACTGCCGCGTGTGCCATCTCTCTGGCGTGTCGGATAGTCGACGAACCCGGCTGTAGCGTCTTCGGACGCGACGGCAGTGGAGAACGTCGCGTATATTCCCGATCGCTTCGTAGCTTCTTTAGCAAACCTGTCTCTACAGCTTTTCAAAGTAATTGCGGCCAAAGGCCTCGCTTATTGAAATTCAAAAACTGTTTACGACCCATCTTTTGCAGTAACACGGATGATTGGGCTAGTTGGTATTGGTTCATCTTTCAACTGAATAAAGGCGCGCACTTAGACAAGGACATTAAACAGGAAATTGGACAGACCAATAGCACCCATATCTTCTCTCCCAAAAAGACACGTACCAAAAGTAGGCCACAGTGAGAAGCCCTTTCATCAATTTATTTTCATTTTTTCGTCTGTTGTGAACCTTGTTGTACGTTGTACACGACTAACGGGGAAGGGAGTGAGGGCTATAGATTGCTACTCAGGATGGTGGAGATTAATACAGAGCATATATTAATTACATATTGCCTTCATCATGCAGTCATGGTGACTATACTGTGCGCAGATCCCAGCACACCTAATCGAATGACGCTACTCTTTCCACAGCCACTGGCCTTGGTTGCATGGGGCTGCAAGCTGCAGATGAGTCATGTCAACGCGAGAGAGGTCATCAAATTCATCAAGGCGAGTCCAGCATCTGTGCCTCTTTCATGCGACTGCTGCACAGCGAGACAAATTCTCTCATAAATTTAAGAACGGATGATATAACCCGCTGCAGGAGCACGCCCTGCGGGGACCCGAAGGGCGCTTGTCCATGGAGGGACAGTACAGCTACATGTTGCTTGCCAAAGCCCGTCCACCTGGTGGATCCGACATGAACGACGCTAACCTATGCCCGGCTCTTCACGAGAATGCACTGTTGTAGACGACTTTTTAAGCGGTTCACATTTTGCTCACATAGGCACCCGTTCCTTACCACTGAACATCTGTTTAATAAAACCATATATATATATATATATATATATATATATATATATATATATATATATATATATATATATATATATATATATATATATATATATATATATATATCGATGCCCGGTATTCCTTGCATCTTAAAACGACTGTTACATAGGCAACTGTAGCATTGGTATTTACGTCTGTGTAGTTTTTGCTATATTTTGTTGTGTTAACTCTTTAAGACGCTGTGCACACAATTGTGTACACCACTCGTTTTTTCCATTTGCATCGAGTAGAGGCTAAAAAAGAGCGAAATATGCCGTACTTTGGACAACCTCCTGCATAATAAGCTTGTCTTCAACTACCTTCATTTTGCAGCGTACTGCATGCATGTGATCACTTTTCTGAAGCTTCTGCGACGTGCCGGTCCTGCAAGCAGTGTGAAAAGCAGTTTTTTTTTTTGCTCAAGATTGACATAACCAAAAATAAATTGGCATCATCTTCAGATTTGATTCTGTTTATGTCAAAAGTAAGCATCAATGACTTCAGAATAAAGAGATATTTAATTACAGCTTAATAAGAACAAGTCACTATAACACACAGATATTTAACAATCATCTCAGTATTCTTGTTACAACAGAATATTGAGTGCCTCGAAGTAGCGCTGTAGTGATTTGAAACTTTTACAGAGAGTTGTTCATAGGTGGAGTCTGAAAGGGTGAAGTCGGCGTGTATTTTTAATCATGAACTCACCCGGCTTTTTAAACATTTCTGCATTCATACGAGTTCTGCATGGAAGCATTCTTTTTGGCACAGCGAGGGAGTATATCAACATGTCTGCAAAGATTGTGCTACTCGATTTTGCGACTCCCTCATTAACAACTGTGATATCACTGTCTGGCTGTGTTCACATATGGATAAATCATTCTTTTTTTTGTGTGTGTGAACTGGTTTGTGACTGTATCTAGTTTGCCAATGAAATCTCAATGTGATGTGTCATGTGTCATGTATGCCCATTGTATCACCGTATATTTACTGTTCTCTTTAGTAGCCTTATTCACTTGCTTTAGCTGAGTTTCATATAACTTGCAGTTTTCTTCACCCTAATGCATATGCTGTGTTTATTTTCATGTTGTTTTTCGCTTTCGTGAACATAAATGTCTTGCTGGTAAAATTAGACCTTGATTGCGCGAGTCATAAAAATAATGGTTGCCGATATCTTTACGTGCATTAAGACTTCACGGAGAACACTGTGGCATCAAATTTGAAAACTGCACGGACTTTGTTTTAGTGTCAAGCTCACGGCAAGTCACTTGATTCTCTATATTCTAAGCTTCGTAGCTGATATACTACGAAGTGAATTGAAAACACTAGTTTTCAGTGCCAATACATGCTTTGCAGTGCGCCGCCAGAATTGTGACATGTAGACTTTGTTACAATGCGCAGGGTAGCGTGAAATATTTGCTACGAAAAACTACTGATCGTGCGAGGAGGGGCATCTCGAAAACGACCGCCGCGCCGCCGCATCCGGATGAATTCTCGCGCGCGCTTCGGTGCGCCGATTCTGACAGCTCTCCTTCTAGTGTCTAGAAATATACTGCCTAGTGTGCTGAGCGCGCGCATTCCGTACGACAGAGGGTGGCGCTGCATGTGATGAGTGCACTCAGTTGCCACACGCGGCGCTGCGTGTCGAGAGGGTGCACGAACGCGCGAAATTCATCTCGTCACCTCGCCGCGTTTAAAATCAGTGTGTTACAGCTACCATCTGATTTACTGTGAAGTTTGATGGCGTCATATGTACACTGCAACACCCTGAGATGTTAAAAGCTAAGCGGCAATGCAAAGAAAGGACGTGTATTGTGCCGCTGTGTCAAGCAAGTTATCGGTCGAACAAGGAAAAGGTGTCGTGTTCCCCGCACTAACGGACCTAGCGCGGTTTCCTGAATGAAAAAGTAAGATCAAGAGGGCAGACAGACGGCTGAATCCGAAGGCTGTCGTGTGAGAAAAGCATTCCGAGAGTGACTCTATCGAACTATCTTTTCGGATTAGGGTGAACGGTGTCGGGAACGAAATCGCCGTTTAGGCGTAATTTCAAATATCAATGTTTATCTGAAAAAATTGAAAATATCCTTTCAAACTTCATGCACACAGTTTTTCTCCCATTTTAACGTTGAACTCCCTTTCCAACAACGTTTTGGGTATCATATGCGGCGAGTGTCAGATTGTTAATTGGCATTTTATCATTCTTTGTTTTCACTTGAATACTAATGGAATGCAGGCTAAAAGGTAAAGGTTTTTCTTCTGTGATGACACTTGCTCTCAAGAACAAAGCACATTTAAAAAAAACAACTCTGGTGGTTATACTGTCAATGGTTTTTAAAATTATTTTTTGCGTACTACAACCACTTTGAGCATCTATCTATCTATCTATCTATCTATCTATCTATCTATCTATCTATCTATCTATCTATCTATCTATCTATCTATCTATCTATCTATCTATCTATCTATCTATCTATCTATCTGTCCGTCTGTACGTCTGTCTGTCCATCTGTCTGTCCGTCTATCTGCCCGTCTCTCTGTCTATCAGTCTGTCTGTCCGTCTGTCTGTCTGGCCATCCGTCCATCTATTCATCCATCCATCCGCCCGTCTATCTGTCCATCCCTCCGTCCGTCTATCTATCCGTCCGGCCGTCTGCCTATCTGTCCGTCTGTCTATCTATGCGTCTGTCGATCTATCTGTCCGTCTCTCTATCCATCCGTCTGTCCGTCCGTCTGTCCATCCGTCTATTTTTCCGTCCGTCTGTCTATCTGTCCATCCATCCATCCGTCTGTCTGTCCGTCCGTTCGTCTGTCTGTCTGTCTGTCTGTCTGTCTATCTATCAAATCGCTTACGTCTGGGTGCCCTCACGATCACCCCCTTATTAGGGTAATCCAAAATTAGTGTGGGCGGGTAAGATGGTTTGATGAATATGACTCGCTGGTCCTAACATGAATAATTTCACAATCCCGTCACGTAGGCCATGAAACCCATCTCGCCACATCTTTTTTAACGCGTGAACGTTGAGCTGGCATTGGCAACGTTGACCCTACGAACGCAAATAATAAACGTTTGTGTCCTAGCGGAGCAATCGAAGCCAAGCAATCTGCGTGGAAACCAAGTATTCCACTACAGAGCCACGCCAGGTCTTCGAAATAATTTCCAAGAAGAGCCAAACGTTCGTGGAACGCCAATGCTGGTTCCTGTGTTGACTATCCAATTTCTCGCGTGTATTTAGCGCCACTTCATGAAGTTTCACTTAATAAGAAATTTCAGTCACCTTGCATAGCATTGATTCCCAAGTTACGTGGGATCTGCTTTTTTTTTTTTTTTGCGGGCAGTAGCGGATGCCGATATGTATGTCACGCAATAATCCTCATTTGGTATATCAAAGCGCCAGTACTGTGAAAGCAATCGAGTATTTCTTATAAAACATTATGTAAATAACACTCCGAAAATGCAGGGAAAATAATAGTTGGCCTAGCGCGGCTCGGCCTCCGGAAAGCTTCGCAGTGCTTGCAGAGCGCAAGGATTGAACTACAGTGGCTATGAACAGGAAAGTGTGATGAGCGGCAAGCGGCGCCGACGGAGCGCACTGAAGCCTCCGAGGAGGAGCCGCGTGGGGGAGCGCGCAATCGTTTAAACGTCGTTTGCACGTTTCCGACAGTTTCGTCGGGCGTGTTCGTCCTCGTTTGTTTTTTTTTTTTTAATTTCGGTGGCACTCTGACACCAGTGCTTCTTTGTGCACTCTGATGGCGCGAAAACAAAGTCATTGCTTCGTCCCCCGGGTTCACTACAGGCTATTAGCTGAAAAGAAGCATGCGTTGTTCGGCGTTCCAAAAGACGAAGCTCTGTTAACGCAGTGGCGTAGAGCGATCCCGCACGCTGAAAAGCTGCTTCAAGATAACTAGGCTGTGTGCGAGCAGCACTTCAGTGAGAGGTACATCTCCCGGCACTTCGAGCACACTTAGATGGGCGAAACTGTCCGCATTGAAAGGGGTACACCCATGGGCGTGTTTGCCGATCAGGGGAGGGGGGGGGGCGAATGTTTATTGCAAGGTGTCTCCTTTATATTAAATCAGTGTATGGGGCAGATTTTACGCTATCCATCTAGATAGAACAGATTTAGCGCCCCCGTCCCAGGTGGCCAGCCCCCTTTGCCTCCCTCGTGTGGACGCCTATGGGCCGGACTTTCGGAGAAGCTCTTCGCATTTGTCGACGCCTTTGAAATCACTTTTTCAAAGTGCTTTAGCTACAACGAGCTTCACAGTGACCGCTTGGAAGAGCTTGTTTCCTGCTTGAAAAAAAAAAAAAATGTCACACTGGGCTGCACACAACATGGTCCGAGCTTCACCAATCAAGTAAACAAGTTTTTTCTGCTCACCCATTTGCGTTTTTACACAAAGGTACTCCACAAAAAGCGAGCATCTTCCCGTGAAAAGAGGAAGTGCCTGAAGCTCAGGCACATAACCTAGGCTTGCAGCCCAATGTTCTGTGGGGCGCTTGTGAACTAATAAACTTTTTCCTTGGGGATAAAAAAGGACGTGCAACAAATTATTAAGAATGCATTGTTGTAAACAGATAGTGAGTCACTACTCGGAAATGTGTTCTATCACCTGTGTGCAGAAATTAAAGGATTTCATTCAGACACTGCTCGTGGTTCTCGCCTCATGATTATGACGCTTTGATTGATGGGGCTTTATTTACAGGTTTCAGATTTTGGTGCACGTTAAAAAATCCCAGTTGGTCGGAATTTCCGGAGCCCTCCACTACGGCGTCTCTCATAATTATATGGTGGTTTTGGGACGTTAAACCCCACATATCAATCAATCATCAATCAATTATTCACAGATTAGTGCTTGAGAGAATGGTGGTTCGCCGTGAAAAGTGTTGCAAGCAATGGCTCACAACTGAGCTCATCGTTCCACTCTTCTATCACTTCTCATCGATAAAATGTTTCAGTACCGTTACGCGCTCACTTTCGGCATCCT